AAAATGAATTTATGGTTTTGGCCAAAATAGTTTTGGAGGGCTGAAACCATTGGACCAAACAGTGACATTTATTTAGTAATTCTCTGATTAAGCGTTTAGACAATGGCAGTGTCAATTTCATGCACATAACATGGATGATCTACAACAGGTAAATCTGTCAGCAGTGTTGATGCACTTCTGACCAAAAATTACGCTAGAGTAGCAATATGTAAAATTTGTTTGACTGAAATACAGAAAGGCAGTTTGTTGCCAAAGATCTTAACAATGACTGAAAACACGACTGATTTTTCATTTTCGGGTTTTGCTATATGAAAACTTTAATCTCGGTTTCAGTTTTAAGTGAAATGTTAATTGAAACATAGAATTTGCAAGATAATGTATATATAGCAATAATAAATGTATGTGTGTTTATTAATTTTTCCAGTACCGATAGCAGAACCGTTAACGTCAGAGCTTATCGATACTCCGGTCTTTTATAATTTAGCCCCGAGGCCGATTAAATACCGGGTTTCGGTACCCATCCCTAATTGAAACTGTATAAACACTTTATGATCTTGTGTTAATAATTAATTTAGGCATACAATACATTTGTTTAGTTTTGAATCAAATTTAGAATCCTTCTAACGTCATAACTCCATCTTCCAATGAAACAACAGAATTCACTTTGATGACGTATGCAGGATCTCTCCAATCATCCATCTGCCTCTATCCAACCACAAATGATTAAACCCCGCCCTAATTTTTTCCCCTTATCCGTTTCACTCAAATGTACTCCAAAATACTAAAGAAAAAAATCTGCTGCTACTTCTGTTTCATCGAGAATTTAATATACACAGTTAATGCACTTTCACACTGAATATCTTATGTCCCTCAAAAGAAATTTGGAGAACCGTGTATTTGAATTAATTATTCTATGTTAGCAAAGTTTATTATGGTAATACACCACTTCCATAGATAGGGGGTCACGCATTTAACAGGGCTGTAACCCCTGACACGAGTTAACCAGGTTAAATTAATCCACAGTATGTGTGCTCAGTCCCTGATGCAGGAGGAGTCTCCTTACACCCCTACAGAGAAGGTCAAGCACTCACCCTGATGTCAATGCGTCGCACTTCCACGTCGCACACCGCGTGGCCGTGGTTGGGCGCACATCTGGAGAAGAAGCAGTACTGGCAGACCGCCACCTGTTCCGCATCGCAGTGATAGAGTCTGTACTCATCGTGGTGCAGGCAGCTCCAGGCCCGCACCTCCTCAGCCCCCACCAGGAGGTGTCCAGGAGCGGGACAGGGCTGCTGGAGATGCGTCTGGATGTGAGACTGGCAACACGGTGCATTGCAACGAAGACACACTTTCTGCGCTAGCAGAGGAGGCCCTCGCCTACACAGAATGCAATGCAGTACGGCCGGAGCTTTCTCGACGTTCAGCGCGTTGAACTTCTCTACAATGTTAGTCAGTTTGATGTTTTTCTCCAGGTTGGGTTTCTGATTGTACGCGTGGTTGCACTCAGGGCAGCGCACGTTGGCCGTGTCTTTAGCCCAGGCCTCGCTGATGCAGCTCCGGCAGAAGTTGTGTTTGCACGGCAGCTGCACAGGCTCCACGAACACATGCAAACAAATGGGACAAATGAGTTCCTCCTCGAAGCAGTTCCGCCAGTTCTCAGCCATCTCAACCAGTTGATCAGACATCCAGTTTTGAGTTGATCAGCTCGCGGAAGGCAAACATCAAGTTCTAGCACCGTCCCAACAAGGTTTCGCTCATTCTCGCGACTCTTTCATTTAGATCCAGGTGCTAGGTCAGTCGATGAAGACCATACGAGCACAGAAGCCCCAGAGAAACAGCTGCTGATCAGACCCAAACATGCCAAGCGAGCGTTTCTGCTCCTGGCAAAGTTAGTCAGCAATCAAATACCACAGTCGGGCGTGAAAGAAGGAATCTGACGTCCAGGGTTTCTTTTTTAACGAGAGAAACTTCGACAATCTATCCACAAATGATAACCATAAAAAAGAACACTTACTAATTATGGTAATATTTTAGGGCGAGCGAAACATGACAGAAAATGACTTGACTAATTGAAAATGCTATTATGAAAAATCATTTTAACCATTGTGTTCGTTTTACGAACTTTACATCCGATTTTAATAGCTTTTGATAGTCTGACAACTAAATAAAAACATAATACGCAGTAATGAATTGTTTATTACAACAGTAATAATAGTAATTTAATTTATGCAAAGTAGTTTGTGATCCAAATAGTGGCACATTTATTTTCGTCTTTGTTTTGGGCTTTGTCTGATTGTAAAGCTAAACATTAACACCCTTCAGAATGAATGACTAGTATTTAAAAAATATCCAAACAATATATTAAAAATGTTTACTTTTTTACGCTATTCTTCAGAGGCCCCGTAAATGATGCCATTTATCGGTCAAAACGAATCGATAAACGCGCAGAAGCTTGAATGTGTTTACAAAGCATCGGTCAAACCAATTATCAGTCTATTTCCAAATACGGCACCCAAATCAAACCCCAGAGCCAGACGGAGCACGCGTTAAATGTCTCAGTGACAGATGCCTGACTATCCGCTGAAAGATAACTAACTACTAGTTAAAGGCTACGACATCGTCTAACATCCAGTGTCAGTCAAGATAAGATCAGTTAAATCCAAACTTAAAATGTCGTATCGTCGTTTAAAACAGGAAAAGGGTGACGCCACAAGTTGCGCTGAAAACGTCCTTTCGTAAGCAGCTGTATAGTCATTTACTGAAGAAGTCGATCACGCAATTTGATTTGTGCCCAGGGCACATGACATTTGCCCTGCTGGAATTATAATAAAGTAGACCTGAGTCTCGGTGCTGCTCGTGTAACACTATATCGATAAGATTTCTGTCCCCTACAACTGTAAGAGAGGCAGCCGGTAAAGCTAGAAAGACTGTTTTATCTATTATAATGACACGACTTTGAATGAACGTACAATTGACGCGTATACATGCATGCCAACATGCTCTCGAAGCATTAAACCACAAAGAGCTGGGATTTTATCATTAGCAGAGCTATTCTCTCGCTATCTGTGTTGGTAAAACATTATAGAATAATCCACAACCTGATCCATGTCCATGTTTCGCCTGATGTTTACCTGGCGCACTTACCAGAGACGGATTGCGTTCATTTTTAGAGCCTAATGACTTGTATTTTATTTTGACGATGCTAACTCGCTTAAAATATTCATGTATTAAAGCCAGATACCTTTGTTGCTCTTAAAGGAGACGATATCGTTTGGCCCTTGTTATTGCTCATCAGCCCTCTTGTTTTCCTGTTTAACGCGAAATAAAAACGACGTATCTGTTTACTTTTCCTCTCATTTGTATGCCCTTTATATAGACGGCTCACGTAAAGCAAACAGATCCAGTTCTGCGGTCACCCAGGGATATCACGTCCTTTAAAACGTTAGTCCTGATTGAAAACAGATGCTTCAGCGCAGTATTCCAATCTGCGTCTGTTATTATTTATGATTTTTTCCCCCCCCTTTCAAGCTAATCCTAGATGAGAGGAACGCAGGCACAGGACTGCAACTCAGGATACAGTTCACATACTCCCCTTTCCCTGGTCACGTGATCAGCGCGGACTTGACACATAAAAGTGGGTGGGGTTATTAAGCAGGGGCGGGGTTTGATTTAAAGGGACACATCTCTAGTGTTTTGAGAGCTGTCAAATGTCTAAATTCAGTTTCTCTCCAGTAAATAAGCCATTTTTTCCCCAATAGCGATGGCTTAAGAAGTGTTTAAGTACAGGAACATTCAATTATTTATTTGGAGGGAAAAAATAAAATATTTATTTAGCAACTCACCTTTTTAAAAACACAGCTGGTTCAGAATTTATATTTGAGTTGGTGCATGTAATTTACAGTAGTTAGAGTCTCTTAATGAGTTGACTGTTGCCCACAGACCTCAATTTACAATAAAATAAAATAAAAAATGTCATGTAAACATTAGAACTGGAACCCATAAAGCAAATTCTCTTCTGGGTTTTAGAACTGAACAGCTGTGCTTGAATATACCATCTATTATCTCACCAGCCCACCAGAATGCTGTTACTTATTCCACATGCAAAGAGGGAATTTACAATGGGATCTTAAAGAGACAGAATCAAAATACAGAGATTATAATTCTACAGTAGTCAAGAGGCACTTGCTGGTTGTCATCAGAAAATAATATATCATTTAATTTGCAAAAGTGGAGCATGGCATTTTTTCAGGTTGTGTCGTCAAAATGAACACAAACATCCCGATTTATGTAAATAACTTTAATGCACTTAAGGGCAACAAAACCACAGGCAGTGTAGTGATTCTCCAGAATATAAAAAAAAAATGCCAGTACACCAATTAAAATAATCTTTTAAAAAGCACTAATAGAGGTTCTTTTTTAAACTTTGACCTATATTATTGTGCACACATACCAAAAATAACAAATGCACATTCTAGAAAGTAGATTGCTGTCCAGGAACCAGTTAGTTTGCTTCGCTATAAAGAGGCTTGGAATGCAATCATAAAGTCAAATGACGTGAAGTTCAATGCAAGTAAAATAGTTTACAAAAATAAACAAAAGAAAGATCAGGGAACTATTTCATGCTTCTCAACTTTACATTTGACATGAGGTTTAGAAAACACCCATTCTGTACAGGCTTTGGTATTGTGAAGGTGAACTGACTAACCAGCTATTGTTTGACTAAACTAAATGAAGACCTTATGAAATATCATCAACCTTAAATAGGCACAGCTGTATTTTATATATGCAAATTAGTAAAAACAGGTAAAACCAGATTTGTTTTTGATAAACATACTTAAAAGCATGTTTTCTATGCTTTCCTTCACATTACAAGCAGGATTTAGAAAAGCAAATTTTCTTTTAAAATGTAACTTCAGTCCATTCTAAGGTGAATAAAGGCACCGGTGCTTGAACATTGTCTCGTGCTGCTAAACGTTCAACAAGAAATATGTTTTTTTTAAACGGAGACCAGAAAAACAAAAAAACCATCAAATCACCATTTTTTCCCTTAGGTAGACCAATGCAAAGACAAGTGGTATAACGGACCATACAAAATGTTGTACATGTACAAAATGTTCTGTGTCATGTGCAATCATCTACGATGCTCTCTGGGAAAAGGGGACGTGTCTGAATGTCTGTTTCCTTCAGCCATCTGTAGGCACATGAGCCTGGCAAAAGAGTTGAGCTGCTTTCTGTAGATGTGGGTTTGTAATCAGGGACAATGTGCTCCCAGTCTTACTGCAGTGGGCTGTCAAACACTGTGTCTGGCAGGACAGAGATCTTTATCTTCTTATCGGGCCAGCTGTACTCCTTCGGCAGCTTAGACTGGGTGAGAGGGTAAAGAGATACATAGCATGTTAAAAACATTGAGAAGTTTACGAAACCTGTGAAATATCTTAATGTGAGGTCTAAAATCTTACCACTTCACGGGTGCTCAAATCCTGAACGTCAGCTAGCATCTGCTCTACAAACTCCTCAGTAAGTAGTATCTAAATTGAGGGGATCAGAACAAAGTCACACACATGGAACGACACTGAACTTTAAAGAAATCGTTCAAACAAAAATGAAACATTTCCTGAAAATGTACTCACCACCAGGCCATTTTTTTGTGATGTAATAGTGTCTGCATGTCTGTTACCTGTAACCATGGTCCATGAGCAGCATATGGATGCTCTTCTGTGGCAAAGGCCCCTTCTACCCCAGTGGATACGAAGGTGATTGCCGTGTCTCCATTAATGCTTTTATATGTGAAATGACGGCCATGAAGCAGACGACCTCTACAAAAAAAAGATTAAAAAGAAAAAAACTGAATTAATCATTTACACAGACATTGATAAGTGTTGTTAAGCGGGAAATATCAAAGGCTAAAGCTATAAGTAACCTGATGTTCACTTTCTCCCTGCTCTCACTTGGACTTTAAACAAAGGCTTCTCTGTGAGCCTCATCTCTGTCCAAACAAGGAGATTACATAAAACTCATAGTGGTTTTCAGGGGTGGAAATTAAGGGGGGCCTGGGGCAAAAATGCCACCAAAATTCAAGATAATGGGGCAAAAATTAAACAATCTATTAAGACTGTCATGATTAAAGTAAAATAAGAAAATGAAAAAAAAAACGTTGATTGCTTTATTACACTTAGATCTGCTAATGTTTCATCAGGTTTCTTTTTACGTTATGATGTATTTTTATGCATTATGACCAATCACATGTTTCTGTTGAGTTTATAGCAATGGCCAATCAGAGGTGTTCAGTCACCACTGAAAACGTTTGTTCTGCAGTATTTGACAAAAACAGCACAAAAATGCCCCTGGAAATTAACTGGAACTGAATTTGAATTGAATGAACAGAAAAGTTTATTTCCGACCCTGGTGGATTTCAAGAAAACGTATGACAAACGACATTTAATTGCGCAAGCACACTCCCAACAGAGTTTTGCCCTACCTGAGGCACAGTGGGAGAAGAGTCCCAGACTCCTGGTTGAACTTCAGATGCACGCTTTCCAGCTGTCGTGTTCGCACCAACTCATGAGGGACAATAGCAGCCGAACTCTCACTCTCTAGACTGTCCTTACGGCTCCTGGGATAATAGAAGAGGGGAAAAGATAAATAAGGAAAAAACAGAATGAGGGTGTCCAATTTGTGTCCAAGTGCCACATTTGAACTATATAAAAGTCATTGCATTAAATAACCACGTTGTAACCGTGTTCATCACATTAACTATGAACCTGATCCACTAATGTTGAAATACCAGAAATGTTCCAAATAATGATGTGCAATGATTTTCATACATTTATAGCTTAAGTGCCTAAATATTTTTTTTTTTAAGTAAGAAATAGTGCAGTGCAGAGTTTTGTTTCCATTTTGTTGTAACAAAAAGTAACTTGCAGACACTGTTCTGAACACCCATTTTCAAAGTGGAATAAAGAAGAATAGTCTCCATAGCCCATTTGTTGGAGAAATAGTTTCAGTTTCACTCGTAGTTGGCTCTTACCTTGATATCTGCTGGGTCTGGAAATGTCCAACTGATTGTCTATGGAGAAATTAGGGGCAGATTTGTACCACAGCGAAGTGAATGAATGCATTTACCACTACTGCCAAACGGCAAATCAAGTTTATTCTTTCCAAAAGCCACTTACAAAAAAAGTCAACTTTCCCTCTTTTAAGAGATTGGAATAGCGCCTTTAAATGCATCTACATATTTGTAATTCAGTCGCTACTGTAAGGCCTTTTAGGCACAAAATGTTGGACAGATGCATCAGTGGCGCAAGTGTGGCAAACACAGGTCGAGCAACTGATCAACAACTGACAAATAAATTCATGACGCACTTAAGCGGTCTTGAAAGTTTGTCAGTTAAGTATGCATAATGATAACTTGACTGCTTTATCAAATAACAGGAACAAATAAGTAAATAAATAAAATTGCATACAGGATTCAACTCATTTTCATTATGTCTGGTTCTGTTAATGGTCTTTAACTTGCACGGCTGCTGAATCTATTGTGCGAAACATACATTGCCGACCAAAGTAGTCAAATTCCCCAACTAATTATTCTTATGAGCTGGTTCTTTTTAGTAAAACAAAATATGTCTGAATCAATCGGAGGGGGCAAGTAAGTAAATTAATTACTTAATGAAACTGCAAGTCATTACTTTCATCATGACAAACTTGAAATTCAACACAACGACTTGATCACAAGTACTAAAGGAATCGTTAATGAAACTGGAATCGTTAAAAGGAATCTGAACCAGAACTGTTAAATTCTTTATGATTCTCAGTCAGTGCAGAAGCCTGAACTCCTTTTCCTCTCCATAAAGAAAGTATGTACAAAAGTGAAGTTCTTTATTACAAAACTGTCATTGTACATCACTTCAGTTCAGCATTATGTTTCTCATTCATCATGATTATTTGGAACAGGCAACACAACCAATTTCAGCAGGCAGTCAGGCTGAGCTCCAGGATGTGTGTCTGAATCTCTAGCTGGGCTACAAGTAGCAGGGGGCCATGAGCAAAACAAGGGGGTGCAGACAACGGGATAGTGAGATTAACCCAGACAAACCATGCACTGAGATGATCTGGATTGCACAGCGTTTAATGAGATGAGGATGGAGTGCTTAAAACGGTCACCCCAGCTAACTGCTACCATCACAGCCCTAATAACAAAAACTACAGGCAATGTCTAATAGCACAAATAATCATGGGTCTAAGGACAGTATAGCATAATACAGCACCCAATTCAAAAGCACATTTGTACTGGCAAGCTAATTTCATGAGCTAGTAACACTGCTGTACAATAGCAGGCCAGCTGGCAAGAGTCAGCACTCATGAGGACAAAGATTGAAGGGACAGGCTGTGTCTGAAAATACCTGCAGGTAATTATCCACATATTGGACAGGCTTCTGAGCCGCTGTCAAATCAATAGTGATTTTGATATATAGCGGTTGAGTTGAACCAACCAAAGTTCATTAAATTCATTCCTAACTCTGTTAAAAATTGCAGGACTGTTTAAAAGCCATTTCTTAACAGTGCACCAAATAGGGGTGGGCGGCATGACTAAAACCTTATATAACAGTACTGCATCACATATATATCATTCATGATCAGTTAATTTTGCAGAGTTTTGCCACATTGCTTTCTTGCAGTATGCATTGGGTGTTTGGGTGCAGTATACATTGGATGTCTAAGTATTCATTTTTTGTTTCACCTAGTGAAATCGATAAATGCTGAAAACTTGTTTAATAATTACAAGCAGTCCTAATGAGTTTTCAGCAATACTAATATCAACAGGCTTATAGACTAATTTATAGGGGTGGATACTGACACTGATTTCACAAACTGATTTGATTCTGATCTCAATTCGATACTGATTCGTTTGGAATGGATGTATATCAGGTACAGAACTTATCGATGTTTTTGTAAGGAAAAAGTTTCTCAACTGAACTATACAATTATGTCAGTTGGTATATTGCCATAATATTAAAGGTTAAAATTAAAAGAGTCCAAACCATTCAATTCAATTGCTATTTATTTTTAGATAAAGTAAACAAAACTTAACTGAGTTTTCTAGCAAAATTATCAAGCTGTGATTAAACGGCTTTCCTGAGGTAAATGTAACATTACATTGTTTACAAACTGTTTTATAGGCGTCTTTCCGCAACTGAAACATGATACATTTCAGTACGTTTCTTTCAACATACCTTATGATATTATTTCATGTTTATTCCATGATATAGGCCTAACTACTACTAAAGCTGAAGAGATGATCGCTTAGTGGATGGGAGAAGAACATTACGTATATTGGTTAGTGCAGTTTAGTGCAAACATCAACTGAAAATAGCAGACTGACAGATCGATCTTGAAATTTAAATATCACTATCGGTTTAAAATTAAGAAATCAATACTATTAATCCAGCCCTACCAACTTGCACATCTACGCAATCATGCGCACAACAGAAATGTCTGTGATGTTACACTGCTCAACCACTGCAAAAAATGGCAATGGCAGTAGACCTACATCACTTTTCATGATTCACAGCACCCATAATCATAATCTCAATCACTTATGTGATTAATTGTGCAGCCCTGTATGCTATAAACAATATAGAAAAATCTCTACCTGGTGACACACTTTTCACACTATGTATATACAGTCATAGTGCCCAGCCCTGGCACCAAACATCTTTTGTCTCCTAGCCATAAACCATAATGATGCCATCCTGTCCTGAACAGGTGGCACAGCAAACCAAAGCAGTTTGGTGTCCTGAAACAAACTTTTCAACCTGCTACTTCCAGAATTAAGGTCACAGCACTGGGTAAACCATACTTCCGCTTGACCAGTATAATCACACTGTCCTGAAGCTTTGATTGTCATGAAAGGGCAGGACTTACTGTGGCCGGTCGTGACTGTGCTTCTGACTGCTGATGGGAGGCAGGACAGACTTGCTGTTAATCTCCAGTCCTTTCCTCAGGGCTTCTCTAATCTGTTCTGTGTCTATATGAACAATACACAAATACTCATGACAATGTGACAGTAATTTGAGCCAATACAAAATCTCTGAAGCATACAGAGTTTGGTGTCTTGTTTTTTCAATCGGGCTGCGCTTGTCCTTAGCACCCCTCACCTTTGTCGGACAGCCTGCGTGGCTGTGACCCAATGCAAATGCTCCTGCTGTCGTCCTCATCCTCGGGAGGTCGGCTCAAGTCATCCCAGGCGCACTTGGCACTGACCCCGCTCAGGTTAGAGCCGTCCGTCTCTATGCCTTTATCCACTCGTTCCTGCTTGGGATGAGCAATCAACACACGCACTAATCAGCAGGAGATCAGCATGGCTGGACATGTGTCCGTCTCAGCGCAGAGAGTGAGGGGGCAGAGGACTAACAGCAGGTGGAGGTGTTGAGTTTAACAGCCACAGACTTAATTACACTCATGTTTTCCCATCACTCCTGAAGCATCACAGTATGTGCTATAACAGATGACCTTAATCGCCAGAAATGATTATCATTCATTACTTGAGAGATATAAAATGTGTTTAAAAAAATAGAGTGGGGGATAAATATGCACAGGAAATTACAAGTTTAACTTGGATACACAAAAGTATCTTAACACAGTTAACAAAGACCTACATTTAAAGGAATAATTCAAAGAAACACTAGCAATTGCACTATTAAATTTCTGGCTGATACAGATAAGCAAACAATTATTGTTATGTTATGGTTAATAATCAATATAACCAATGAATGACTGATATTAAAATTCCAAACTATTTTCTCTAAATAAATAAAACACCCAAAACAGTAACATAAAACAAAAAAAGCAGATTTAGGCATCACTACACGATGTCATGTACAGTACGATAATGGATATTCATTTTGAGATCTGCTAAAGATTACATTTAACAGTGTTATAAAATTAGTGTTTCAAAAGATAACTAAGTGATGACGAAAATGTTTGTGCAAAAAAATTATACTTATTAGAATTATTTCTGAAGGATCATGTGACACTGAGGATGAAGTAAAGATGATGTTGAAAATTCTGCTTTGGAATAAAATATACTGTTTACATGTAAAATATACTGTTATTTTACTGTATTTATGACACTTCTTTCCAAAACAATAACATTTTTACCAACCTCATACTAGCATAATACTCAATATCGACCGACGTATATATAATATCAACCAATAATGATAATTTTACCGAAATACTAAAGTTACATTTGTGTGAGGAGCAGACCGAAATATCATTTAAAATCATCTTTAAAAGGAAGAGTTTGAGCAAATAACCATGAACAGTTGTCATATATGGTAAAGAGGAACATGTAAATTTTTCAAAATTCGTGTTCCACACAAAAAAATAACAGCAAGCCATTTAGCAACAATATCAGGGTAAATAATACGAGCATTTTCATGTGGATGATCTGTTCCTTTCAACAACATGCAAACTTCAGAAAGCCTTACTTGCAAGTGTGGATCAATGTCAAATATAGTTTCCCCTCTTCTCATATCAGTGATTAACCATGGACCCCCAGCACTGCAAACAAAACAGCAGACGAAACAAGACCCAATTCAGAATTAATGAAAAACAAAAACAGCACAAAGCACCTCAGAGCAAATGAAAGCTCCTGGCCCACTTAAAGGGGTCATATGATGCGATTTCAAGTTTTCCTTTAGCAGACTGCGTTTGTCGGAAGGAGGGACTTTGTAGAAAACTAAGCGTTTGAGGGAGGCGGGGCATAGAGGACTTACAATAATGTACAGTATTTGAAAAATAATGTGTTTTTTGAACATTAAAGCATGTCAACATATTCTGTTACACCAAATACACAAAATAATGATCTTTAAAAAAGCATCATATGACCCCTTTAATGGAAAAGAAACATCATTTAGAAACATGACACACATATTCTTACATTTGCTTACAGTAACACAAACTTATAACTTCACCCCTCCATAAATGCCACAGAGACAAAGTAATATATCAAGGGCATTCATTTAGTTTCTCAGCTGGTTAAATCAGTCCTGCAGTTTCTTTAACGTAGTTTTCCCACCAATTGAGCACGAGCATGTCCTTGGCCTGTCTCATGGCTGGCTGTGGGATTACTCACATGTGCACTCCTCTCAGCAGGTCCAGAATGCCTTGACCGTTCCACTGCTGCGCTGCCTGCAGCTCCTCTGTGCAAACACCCACAATCTGATGAGCACAGAAGGAAAAACTTAATTTACACCAATCAGAAGGAGACACATGCATAAGAGGACAAGGTTAATAAATGTTAATGTCTTAAGGTTATTTCAAATATACAGTGGGGCTCAGCTGAACATAAATGGCTATATAAACACGTCTGAAGCCGACCTCAAAGGGTACAGAAACAAATAAGAAAACTAAATAAATGTGATTTTATATTAGCCTACAGTCAACAACTTTTTTGAAACTGCTGGCTTGTTGTGCCTGACCTGAAGGAAGCTGATGTGACCAAAGGGGGTCTGCATGGGCTGCATCTGAGGGTCCTCTGTGAGTAGCATATGCTGGATTCTAGACTCGCTGTTGTCCAACGGACTGTGCCACGAAATGTGATCGCCGCTACAGAATGTGTTTTCTGTTGCAGAGCAAATTATTTGTCTGAGAGGTTGCATACTTTCATGAGAGTAATATTTAATATTGAAATTAAGTATAATTTTAATTTTGACAACTCTAATATATTGCACACAGTATATGCAATAGAGTACATACATAGATACCTGCTCTGGGACAAATCTGCAATTTTCACACTAAAACACTAAAAAAAAGTTTGTTTGTACTTCAAATAAAAAGCTACTAAAATTAAGCAGAACGCCATATTCTGCTAAATACAGTCTGCACATATTTAGATGTGTGATTCCACATGCTGCACCTCATATCACTCAGTTGGATTCGCAGAGGTATTATTATATTAAACTGGCAGGCGAAAACAAAATCTGGATTTTAGGTTTGATCTGAAGTGCAAAAATATGGGAAAAAAGGACTTTTTTGCAGTTTCTCTTTATCCTGAGATACCACTGTACTTCTTTAGAAATCCTTTTCAACTTGATTATATTATAGTTTTACAGTTATACAAAGCCAAACTTTATTTCAAGGCTTTATTTTACATTTGCGTGTCCCACTCAAGCTTGATTATTACAACGGTAAGACAGTAAAAGTGTAGATTAAAAGCATAAATGGTTCATACTATCAGGCTGAGAAATAATGATCATGAAAAACTACATTTTTACCATTTACACCATATATTAAATGACTTTAAATCTGTTAAAGCTGAAAACAACAGCTGCTACATTGTTTTGAAATCACAGAAGGAATGCTTCCAGGAATTATAAAACTCCTACCCCTAAAGAGTGGGGGCAGGTACAGTACCTGATTGAAACACGTATCGAGCCAAGCCTTGCATGAGCTACATTTTATACAGTCATACAGTTATACAATCATTTTACAATCATAAAAGTTACAACTTATTTATGATTTTTTTACATAAACATAAGATTGGATGTTTTTAAGGCTTTTTTATTAGAGGAGATTCTTTGAAGTGATGAGTAAAGCAAAAGTAGGCTAAATCAGAAGTGAATATTTTATAGTTAGGTTTAAAGTTAAGGCATCGCGCTTTGTGAATGTGGAATTTTCCCAGCATACAGATAAAGTCCAGGGCATCCTCTAGCTCCCTATTGTCAGAAACCACAGAATGAAAGAGAACCTTAACTGTAGAAATGTCACATAGACGAAAGAATACGAGAAGTAAAGATGCCGAAATTTGAAGCCAGAATTGTTTAGTATACGGACAGAAATAGAATAAATGTGAGAGAGATTCTTCCTCTTCTTGGCAGAAAGAGATGAGTGGAGAAAGATTTTGTATGAATTTACGTAAATATTTCTTGCAGGGGTAATAATGATGAATAATTTTAAAATGAACATCTTTTATTTTATGATTAAACAAAATAATTAAAAAAATTAGTTTGGCACTGTCCATACCTTCTGAAAATTAACATTTGGATAAAGTACCAACCACTTTCCAAAAGCTTTAAAAGATGAAGCATTATTAGCAGTAATAAAGTTTCTCAAAAATTTGTTTGTACACTTATTATCCATAATATTAACCCTTTGAATAAATAGTTGAGGGATAATTAAACTAAAATTACAATATATTTTATAAGACTTCATTAACAATAACAACTTTAGGAGGAACGGAATTTGTAAGAATAGTATAGTCCCGTTTTGAAGCATTTATCCCATATTTATTAATAAAATCAACATAAGCATAAAAATATCCACTGTTGCTTATTAAATCTGATAAACACATAAGTAAATTAATATTTTATTCATTTTTTAAATTTAAATTTAAATTAAACTAAAAAATTTTTAGTTTTTCCCAGAAAAAAATATCTGTTTTCATTCATACTTTTTAGATTTTTTCTTCCATGAGTCTAAAGCTTGCTTATGGAAGTTTGAAAGCTTCATAGTGAGCCTTGTGGACTTAAAATCACAAGAAAGCAAAAAACTCTAGGCTACATTTCCACATCTCTTGAAAACACAATCATTTGTTGAATTTTTGTTTTTGCCCGCCACGCACACATAAGTAAATTAATATTTTATTCATTTTTTAAATTTAAATTTTAATTAAACTAAAAAAATTTTATTGAGTTTCTGTATTCTTTTTTTTTTACTGTTTCAATCATTTACTGCTAATATGATACTTAAAATTTATTTTTTCACATGCCAGAGATTTCAGTAATTTATCTATTTGTTTTAAAAATCTATTTCATTTTAAACCGAAATTTGTGAATCTACTAACTGTACTTTCCAAAGTACATAAAGGTTTAGTGCCACCTGCTGGACAGACTATTGACTGCACATGTGCCTGGACCTTATGTTATACAATAATGTAAGATAATATAAGATGAAACCATCATAATTAACAGGATGAATTATATCTCATTCTTGTATTATGAATGTTTTGTGTTTTTAGATTTATATCTTGTCCTTGGTTTATTCAAAGAAAAGATCATAAGTCATAAATTCTGGAAAGTGATGTAATGACACTAATGCTTCATTTCCACAAATGAAACACCTACAGCAGTCAGAGAGGTCAACTGATGGCCTCATGTGGTTTATTAGTCATTGCTGATGTTAAAAGCATTTTTCAAAATTCTGTTTTACTGTAATATCCTTTAGCAATTTATCCTTATGTTGACACTACATATATAGTTGTCTTGGCATCATCCATCTGGTAAAGTGTTTTGCCAGAGTTTTATTTAGTATATTTTGTCTTTATGCATCATAAGAATATGCTTATGCCCAAAATTATATTAGAAAAAATTCAGAGATTAACAACAATTTCTCTAGAAAATCAGCTATGATGCAGCTTGTCAGAACAGATTATTTATGCTCAGTATACCAGGCCTGTTTATGGCAATTATGACTGATAAGATGTTTAGGCTACATGTTGATGTTACGTGGTGTTGCTGAAATGTACACATAATGCTTATAATTTTTCAGGACTTTCTGTAGAACTGTTTGTACATTACACAGTTTGTTTTTACAGGTTTAGGTTACACAGTTTATTTATTTGTTGTTGATGTACATTTTTGTTGTTATGTAATTTTGTCTTCCTAAATTATATAATCACACTGGGTTCTTACTAATACTCCAATTGTGACCCTGGAGCACAAAAGCAGTCTTAAGTGTCTGGGGTATATCTGTAGCAATAGCCAAAAAAAATTGTATGGGTTAAAATGATCTATTTTTCTTTTATGCCAAAAATCATTAGGATATTAAGTAAAGATCATGTTCCATGAAGATATTTAGTAAATTTCCTACCGTAAATATATTCAAACTTAATTTTTGATTAGTAATATGCATTGCTAAGAACTTTATTTGGACAACTTTAAAGGCGATTTTCTCAGTATTTAGATTTTTTGCACCCTCAGATTCCAGATTTTCAAATAGTTGTATCTCGGCCAAATATTGTCCTATCCTAACAAACCATTCATCAATGGAAAGCTTATTTATTCAGATTTCAGATGATGTATAAATCTAAATTTTTCGAGAAATTGACCCTTATGACTGGTTTTGTGGTCAAGGGTCACAATTATGTTTTTCTGTGTGTATTGTGTTTGATTACGTTTTCAAATTGTGTTCTTTTATTCAGACAATACCCTGAATTGTTCTGCTTGTGGGATTTATTGATTTATTCAATCCACGCAGTTATATAATGAGCATATTTTATCCAAACTTTTATCATCCAAGATTTTCCATGTACACTTTGGCTCCTCACTGGTACTCTGACTGGATGACTCGCGGCCACTTCTTGCCAGTTTACAGTCATATGCCGGGACCAGTGACCCTTTACACACAGAGCATCCAGAGATATCAAGACACAGCTGAGCATATAGAGTACCACCATTTCTATGGACCAAAGCAAAAAGTTTATTTTAGTCCTATTTGGTGCCATCAATCAAGAGTGCTTCCTCTGCCAAATGTTGCTCCAAAACAAGCCCCAGGATTCAGTCACCATGAGATGCCCAGTGAAGCATGGCCAGAAGGGTTCAGAGGGGAGCTGCATGCGCTGGGGGAAACTCCAGAGAGTGTTCGGCGTGAACTGAGAGCTTCCAGACTTTGTGAAAGAGGATCTGAGGTGGGTGTATGGCACTTACCCCAGCAGGTAATCTGTGAGAGATCAGCTATCAGAACGGGGAGTTTTTAGTGTGAGGGAACCCTCCTGTGGGTGAACAACAGGAATATATGGTAGAAAAGAAGGTGCTGCGAAAGGAGACAAGTCTTCCAGAGGGGCATGGTGTGAGTGAAATAAAAGAGAATAAAAAGAAGACGAAAAACAATATGACTATATTGCTGTAATGTTTCTGTTTAGCGCTATCTACTGTCAGCTGAGATTAAAAAAAAAAGAGTGATTAGAGAGTATATAAGACAAATCTAGTGTGTAAACAATGAATGAAGCTTGGGAAATGAAAATATGATAATACTGATGTACACAAAAAATTGGTGCATTTTTCACGTTTTTTCATCATTTTTCACCTGGAAAGTGCTAGTAAAACAAAGGAATTGCTATAAAAACAAATAATTAAAAAGAAATGGCAAGTACCACATTAAATTAAACGTGAAATTTGAAAGTAGAAAAACTGAAATAGTTTTTTCTTGTGAAATGTACTTGAATAATGATTTATTTAGAATTGAGAAAAATCTTTTTACAGTGTAATATAGAATGATATTTACAAAATCCACTCCATTATAAATCTCATTTTATAATATCAAAGTTATTATACAGTATATAATGTAATATTATTTGTATGTAAATGGATGTATCACATTCTGACAGTGTTGATAGTTTTTGTGTACCCACAATTTAATTTGACACACTACAATTATTCATATTTACACATTGTAAAACTGATTTTTTTAAGTGGTAAATAAAACAAAGATTACTGAAGAAATTACTATTTTAGTTTTTCTACTACTACTTTTGTGTTACTTTGCATTTCTTTGTAATTATTTATGAAATCTACTAGCAATTTCTGAGTTACAATTGTTTCAAAGTAAATCCCACAATTTTATTTTTCAGTCAAACACACACACACACACACACACACACACACACACAGTAATTATATTCACATCTTTAAAGTGTCCTTGATACTGATTCAAAAATCATGTATTTCTTTTGGATATGTGAAAAAATAAACATTTTATAACCATATATTTGGTCATGTCAGCTGGGAAAAATATTCATAAATTTAATCTTCAACTAACACTAATACATAGCTTAAACGTATTATAAATTTTGAAAACTACAACTGAAGTCAAAATATACATATAATTGCAAAAGCAAGTAACACTTCAGCAAAACAGTGGTGAAATGAGAACGCACTACTACACAAAATACCAGTATCTGAGTGATCGTAATGCATAAAATATCATAGATGTATAGACACCCCAAACTGTATTCAGATGGCCACTACCATTCTTATTGTCTCTGCATTGAATGAGTGTTGACCAGATCATTATGATATTCATACTGGTCATCATGAACAGTTGTCTTGTGAGGGTGTCCATTACTCCAGATTTCCAAGGAATTGATCCTGAGTCATTTGCTGGGAATAAGAGATAAGACATGCCTGCGGTTATAGCGTGGGAGTCAGTGCATCATTTGCATAACGTCAGCTCACCACTGGCTTTACTGAAGAATCTGGCCATGTTGTCTGGCAATACATTTATATCCAACCCAGACATACAAGTAAGATGAATCCATATCATAAAAGGCACTGCTAAACATCTGACCTATGTTACTTATAAGTGCCCTGTATTTGAAAAACCACACGGAAGTAGTGGACAGACTTTGGTCATTTGATAAGCACACCCACAGTGTCAGATAAATGAGAGTGT